TTAAAAAGTGATGCTAGATGCGGTGGCATTTCCGTAATTAATCATAACTTTTCTGCCATCGCAAAAAGTGCATCAGATTAGCGAAAAAGTGTATCAGAAAGAGGCAAATGTGAAGCTTCTCACTTCTCACGTTAAGATGTCTTCTTATTAGAACCCAACCATATATATATATATATATATATATATATATATATAGAGAGAGAGAGAGAGAGAGAAAAGATCATATGAGAAGTCTCCCTTAGGCTGAGAAGCTGCGAAGTCTAACTTATAAGCTCAAAACACGAACTTTTAACCAATAAATTATAACTCATAGACCCCCTCCAAAAAAATTACGAAAATGCCACCGCGTCAAAATAACTCCAGAAACCTGGATTTTTTTTTGCAGAAAGTTCGTGTTTTTGAGGGGGTCTATAAGTTATGATTTTTTTGGTTAAAAGTTCATGTTTTTTGCTTATAAGTTAGACTTCGCAGCTTCTCAGCCTAAGAACACTTCTCAGCTGATCCGCTCCCTATATATATATATATATATATATATATATATATATATATATATATATATATATAAGAGATCAAATACAAACCATGCTTAAAATACTAACCTACAAACTCAATAATATGCATCGCTTTGAACTTCAATACGCAGTAAAAATAATGTAAAGATGCAGGGGTGAGATCACATAGAAACTAGTCCTCTCATTCAAATCATCTTTACATTATTTGTATTTCACATTGAAGTTCAAAGTGTTTCATATTATTCAAGCATAAAATAGCACTTATATATTTACATTATTTGTATTGCATATTGAAATTCAAAGAGTGCATCTTTACATTATTTGTACTGCATATTGAAGTTCAAAGTGTTGCATATTATTGAGTTTGTAGGTTAGCAAGTTAAGCATGGTTTGTATGTGATCGCACCCCTATATATATATATATATATATATATATATATATATATATATATATATATATATATATATATATATATATATAGGTGATGGTTCAAATACAAAGAGGTCTTCCCATGCAAAGTGAGAATTAATCTCGTGCATTCATTTTCAGATCTAATGGCTCAAAATGAGCCAAAAGTGAACTAAATTTGATCCAAAACGCGGTGGCAATTTCGTAATTAAAACGAAGTTTTTTGCCATTGCGAAAAAGTGCGACAGAAACAAGCAAAAGTGCAACGCGGTGAGGAAAAAGTGCAACCGTTCGCACTTTGCACGGGAGAACCTCTTTTTATTTGATCTCTTCCCTATATATATATATATATATATATATATATATATATATATATATATAGAGAGAGAGAGAGAGAGAGAAACATTGAAGAATAAGGGTTTCAAACTAAGTCGGAGCAAGACAGAGTACATGGAGTGCAGGTTTGGTGGAGGTAGAAGCAATGGTAATAGCGGAATTACTCTGGATGGTAAGGAGATACCAGTCAGCGATATGTTCCGTTACTTGGACTCCATAATTCAGAAGGACGGTGAGTTAGATGGAGATGTATCCCATAGAATCAGAACAGGGTGGATGAAGTGGAAGAGTGTGTCAGGATTTCTATGCGATCGAGGTATGCCGACTAGACTGAAGGGTAAATTTTATAGGACGGCAATTAGGCCTACATTACTGTATGGCGCAGAGTGTTGGGCGGTGAAATAATGTCACATTCAAAAGATGAGTGTGGCAGAGATGCGCATGCTGCGTTGGATGTGTGGGCATACTAGGAAGGACCGCGTGAGGAATGAGACAATCAGACAAAGGGTGGGAGTAGCACCTATTGAAGACAAGATGTGGGAGTTGCGCCTACGGTGGTTTGGTCATGTGCGTAGAAGACCGAATGATGCACCTGTCAGATGAGTTGAGATGTGTGGAGAAGAGGCAGAGAAGAGAGGGAGAGGAAGACCCAAACAGACGTGGGTTAGAGGAGTTCGAAGTGATATGCTTCTTTTGGGGTTGGATGAGGGCATGACTTTGGAGAGAGCTAAGTGGAGAGCGGGTATTCGTGTGGAGGAGTGATCTCGTATCATCTTTTTCTCTCATCTTTTTTCCTTGTTTTTTATCCTTATATATAAGCATTATTTGTATCCTTTATATTTTATCATTTTTATGTATATTCATCTCTTTTTATATTTTTTTTTATAATAGCTTCTTTTTTATCTTTATTTCCTTTCTTTTCCTTTTGGTGGTGATATCATGTATCAATTCATGTTAGCCGACCCCAATATCTTTTGAGACTAAGGCTTGGATGTTGTTGTTGTTGTTGTTGTTGTTGTTGTTGTTGTGTGTGTGTGTGTGTGTGTGTGTGTGTGTGTATATATATAGAGAGAGAGAGAGAAATGCTCAGGTCCGAATGTTCGGACCAGAGCCTCCGTCCGAACACCTCCGTTTTGGGCGATTCCCGATCGAATTGTTTGATAAATTTTTAGGGTATGTTCTTCATCAAGTCTAGTTTATCCACAAAAAAACGCAGTCAACTTCAAAAAATCATTTGAAGGTCTTCTCGGTCGAATTTTGAGCTGAAATTTTTTGTGGATAAACTAGACTTGATGAAGAACATACCCTAAAAATTTCATCAAACAATTCGACCGGGAATCGCCCCAAATGGCGGTGTTCGGACGGAAGCTCTTGTCCGAAGTTCGAACCTGAGCATTTCTCTCTCTATATATAATTTTGCTTGATGTTTTATGATAAGAGTTCTCTTCTTCTTTTAGGTTAAAAACTAGCAATTTCTCTTATCCGTTCCATATAACTCATGGTAGATAGTTTTGGAATGTGATGTAATTCAATAGATTACTTTCCTGAATACATTCAGAAGTTGATATTAGCATATTATATGTCTTATATCTTCTAAGAACATTCAGATTTCAGAATGAAGTTCACCCCTCAATTTTTTCTTTAGAATAACTTAGAACAAAGCGAATATTTAAGTTAACACTTAATCCGACTAGTGATGTTATCACAAATGCATGCCTATAGGCGCTTCATTTAAACTTTTAAATAAAAACTAAACTAGCTAAAATGAAGAGTGTTTACATAAATGTGATTAATGACTAAAGTAATAATGAAATCATAATAACCTATGTTTAATTTTTGAACTAAAATTACTATGACACTACATTGTAGTCACTAATAGTCATATTTTTTGTAAATAAGTTTTATTTTAGTAATATTTTTGTAAAAACTCTTATAAGATAATAGTGCTATTTTTTTAATAGTGGTATATTAATTGGAAATTGCCCTAAGTAGTACTACCTACGTTCCACCATTCATATGGTCAACTTAAATCATTTTTAATCTTTTGCTTTATATATCAAATTTTTATCACATTTACATTTTTTTATCAGGCTTTGTAGCGGTTGTAATGTAGTTTATGAATATGTAAATTTTATTTACTAAAAATAATCAGAGTGTGAACAAAGATTAAGTTGTTTTATTGTCAGTCAAGCATCGTAAACCGTTACGGGAATCTTCTAGCGGGACGGAGGGAGTAGTAAACAAGTTTTAGTGTGCAAATTGCACCCACTTTATAAACACCAATTGTTTTGGCACCAAATTAAAAAAACTTGCCGTCTTCTTATACTTCACCGTTTCTTATATTCTCTCTTCCTCTCCAAATTATAAAAAACTAGTGTTGTACGCGTGCGATGCACGGGACAAAAGTGTACAAGTGTTTTTGTTTATAATAATGTAAGGCGTATATTGAAATGTTTTTGTAGAATATTATTATTCAACTAACAATTAAACGCATGTATCATAAATAACAAAAAGTTATTTCATTTCGTAAAAAGCATTAAGCATTCTCAAAAATGTGTGTTCAGTTGTTTCAAAATAAATTTTAAAGGTATATTTACTCTCACACATAAAGTTTAAGGACATATATTTATTCTCTCTTTTGAAAGTGTAATTATTGTTCAGGTCTTAATTAATTACACTCTTGACTGCTGACCTATTATATTATTTATATCTTCTACATTACATGTAATAAGTTCAAAACTTCTTTAATAAAAGTTGAAATAAATAAAATATAATTCATTTTTCAATTTAATAAATATCACTATTGAGGTGTTACATCAAATAATGTAAGAATATGACGACATTAGTAGAGAAAGACTAAAGACAACGACAAAGCATTATGCATTAGTGATAAAATCTAAAATTCTAAATAAAAGTTCAGATACTTTCTTAAGAAAGCAATACAATAGGAATATCACATGATAAAAAAGAAATACACATGACAGTATTTACTTTAATCTTGTAGTCGTGACTGTCAAATAGTTGCAGTATAATGTATTTAACATGATAATATTTCTTATAATTAATGACAGTATTTTCAATCATGACAGTATTTTTCATACATGGCAGTAACAACTCCTATTTCGGGAAGAAAAACATTATAGTCCTATTTTGAAATTTCAAACTTCATTACTCCTATTTAGGACAATATCTCTTGATTTTTCCGCAGCCAACTTTTTCTAACATAAATAGACATTTTTATAGATGTAAAAAAAATTATTTTTTTGAGGGTATTCCAAACAACCCAAAAATTAATAATACCAATTGGACCAAACCATTTTATTTTCAACCCATTAAAACTATATGGAGACCTAATAGTTGTTAGCCTCCCCCGTTATTTATTTTCAGCCAACGTTAGTTGTTCGGCTCCTCCGGTACCTACAGTACCGGACATCTCCATTACATTTATTAGGAAGCTGCCACATGGCCACTTATTACATCAGTGGCCAGAATTTTATTTTTGTTAATGTTGCCCCCAATTTCTTCTTTTGTTTAATTGCTATAACAACTACACTACGCACTTTTTTCTGATCAAATCATCTCCGGAAAAACACCCATACGACTACCCCTTGCTAAATCTGTAATGCCTCTGCTCTTTGGATTTGTTTTTTAAATGTTGCCTCTATTTTTTAAAAAGTTCGTTGTTTAATAATCATCAAATTCTCGAACTGCTATCTGTAATGTAAATTAACGAACAAAACAAAAATTTCAACCTTCAATTAAATATAAGCTGGCAAACTGCTATTACATCAAAATTAGCAAAAAAAAAATCAGCAGCTCAACCTTAAATTATATATAAGCTGGCAAATTGCTATTACATCAAAATTAGCAAAAAAAATCAGCAACTCCAAATTCAACTACTTCCTACTCCAAATTATCAACAAGCCAGGTCTTGATCTGCAACTTTCAATTAAATATAAGCCACAAACTGCTATCCACCATATAAGCCAAATTCTACTACTTCCTACCCTCAAAACATCAACCGACAAGTAAGCAAGTTCTTCTTAATCTGCAATTCTTCTCAAAAATAACTACTTGTTTCCCCAAAGTTGTAATATACACTTTTATTTGGACTTTGGTTAGGATTAATGACTTGACTTCCAACTCCAAAGTGCTCTTCGACAGAAATCAAATCACTAAGTGAATTAGTCATGGGAATATGTGCGGATGGTTGATGCATATCAGGTAAAACTGAATATGAAGCCCGTTGTTGGATAACTCCAGTTGTGGGTGCAAATGGTTCCTACAAAAAGAAGAACTTGCAAAGTTTAACATAAAATAATTAATAAAAAATGTTTATAAAATTATAATAAAAATAGTATTTTACCACATCTGTTGATTCTTTTTTCTTTTTTGCACTTTATTTGCCTTTCTCTTTCTTGCTAATTTTTCCACCCAAGATTTAGGCCGCTTCTTTGCCTTATTAGAACAATCCCTTTTCTTTATGCCTTTGGGACCATCAAGATCAATAACATTGACATTTATCTCAATATTTCTGGATCCCATCAATATAGCAACATGACAAATACTCCCAATGGCCGATAATCCTTGTTTGTCTTATATGTCGTGTCAAACGAGACAACATCCCCAAAATATCCATAATCATTTATCATTTGTGCATCTGTCCAGAAAATATTAGTTATCTGGTCTTCATCGTCCATTTGAAAGTCATAAAAGAATGAAGGATTTTCACTCTTGCTTTTGAAGTACATCATCAATGCACCAAGTTCACCATACTCCAAAGACTGTTTTGTTTTTGTTCGAAGACAATTTCTATGGTCTTTTCTTGTATAACCAATACTCTCTACTCCACCTGCTTGTTGTGACACATATGTATGAAAATCTCTTGGCTTTAATCCAGAAGCATCGACCAACAGAATTTGTGATGCTTGTGTCTCAGACACGTGACGATGAGACCGAATCATGTGAACATAATCAAGAGGTTGAAGAGGATGATTATGTTCGTCTACAAAGTCACTGACCTTGTACTTTTCCAGCTTTCGATCAAGTGAAATAACCACTCGTGCTTGACATCCTGTTCTAGTTTCTGCCCATGGATTTTTTGTCAAGTTGTCTCGTTTGTCTGTACCTCGTGTGCCCTCTTTATAGCATGAGAATCTTCTTGAGGTTAATATTCCATCCTTTTTTGCTTTTATTTTCATATTCTCGACGAATGCCGAATCCGTACCTCCTACTATATGCATTATAAAAGTCATATGCTTCTGCTTCAGATTGGAACTCCATACTCAGATGTGGTATATGTGCATAATCCCTCTCTAGAATGTCTTGTGTGCTATTAGCATGAATACTGTTAACCAAGTTCTCTACTCCATCAATTGGACTTGATGAAGCATCCATGTCTGATGAATGAGAATACAAAATTCTGTGAACAGAGTAAGCATTAAACTAGCAATTTCAACAAATTCTAACTTTAAATTAAAATTATAAATAGAGATATAAAGTTTCTGAGAATTTACTTATGACTGTAGGGAAAAAAAATCTTCAATTTGCAATCATATAAATATATGACCTGTCCAGTTTCGAAATAAATAAGGCAATCAAAACATAACAAAAAAATGAAGAAGAGTATTAATTTTTTAATGTAGACTGCTTCTAACTTGCATCATCCAGAAATTCAATTCAATCAAAATATCCAAGTATAAAATGAAATAATGTAAAATGGATTGTCTGAGAATGTTGAGATGTTTAACATGAGCAAATCCATACCTTCAGTTATGATGAAAAGCAATCTGGCTATTGATTCTTGAAAAAGAAAGAGATTGTGTTTTTTGGTGTAGAGATGAAACAATTCTTTCTCCATCCTCCCTATCGAAGAATCAGAAAATAAATCCAAAGAGAAGAGGCAGTAGAGAATTAGTTAGGGTTACATGTGCAGGTGTTTTTTCCGGAGATGGTTTGATCAGAAAAGAGTAGCGCCGTTCCTATAACAATGAAAAAAGCAATTTGGAACAGTATTGGCAAAAAATTCATCCTGACCACTCATTTAGTTAGTGGTCCATGTGGCAGCTTCCTAATAAATGTAATAGACATGTCCAGTACCGTATGTACCGGAGAGGAGCCGAACTCATTTTCAAGAGGCACCGCTTTACTCTCAACTACATTGCCACGTACTTTTATTAGGAGTCAAAGTTTACAAATTAATAAAGCGAAATGTGGCCAATCATTGCGGTTTAAAATCCCGCCATTGATAATGGCCGATAAATTAGCTAGGAATGTTTGACACGTGTCCACTTATTTCCTTATTAAGTTAGTACGAAAAAGCATTTGCCACAATGGAATCATGCGGGAATAGTTATTTCCATTGTTAAATATATAAAGATAAAGATATATGCATCTATAATTTTTTCACCTTCCACCTTTAAGCAACTTAAATTAGAAATTGAACTGCAATTTATACAAATTATCTACTCTTGTTCGAGCACTGACGTATACTTACTGAATTGATTCAGTTCCATTATTTATATAAATATATACTCTGTATTACACTCACATATTCTAACGCCAACTTGACATTATTAATAAAAACATTTAAAACATTTTCATCAACAAATAATATCATATTTACAAAGTAGTCACATGCATTTACAACGTTCATAATACGACAGTATAATTTATTACTACGTACTCCCTCGGTTTCACAATCTTTGACACACTTTCCTTTTTGGGCTGTTTCACAATCAATGGCACACTTCCTTATTTCCTTATTTCGTAAACAAATCTTTACCAAAACAGTGCAAAACGAACGTGTATTTTAACGTTTATTGTAACAATTTTTAAAACGTAATATGCCACTTTTACACTAAACATAAACCATTTATATGAAATGATACACGATAGTATTATAATATTATTGCATATCAATAAACAAGGTTACATTACTTACATACATCTACACATTAGTCACATACTCAGAATATTTTAATTGTAACCACACACGTATTCCAAGCCAGACCTCTTCAGAGATTTACAAACATAAGAACCAAAACTACACTTCTTAGACATCCTTCTTTAGCAATTCGACACTAATTCAATAATCAAACTATACAAATTTGCTACTCAATTCTCTAAATTTGCCACTTCAGATTTAGCCTCTTCACTTCCGAATCTCGCCAATAGCTAGAACAATTAAACACAAGGTATGTTGTTGATTTCTTAATTAATTGATCACTCTGCTTCCTATTACGGTTGAACTTGTAGTCCTAAAGTACGCAATTAGTTTCATGTTTAGTACATTTCTTTAAATGCAATCACAGTTTCTTTCCTAAAATGAGATGTTTTTAATATCTATTATTAGGGCTCAAATATGACCAATTAGTTTTTATTGTTAATCAGGTTTCTTTCCAAGAGCCAAAGTTCTGGTTATCAAAAGGCACAAATAATTGTTTTTTCCATGCTAATCAGGTTTTCTTAAGTAGAAACTTTATTAAATAATACTAAAGATCCAATTAGAATCATTTGTGCTTCATATTTGTACAAATGCAATAATGATAATATTTAAAATGTTTTTGTACATAAGAGTTGGGCATACTTGTTTTACTATATAGAACCTAATTTTTATAAATAGCAAAAGGCCTGATCATGAGATTGAGAAAAAAAACTTCCGTTCTAGTGAGGGTTGAGAGCTCACTCTCCCGATTTGGCCTAACGGTCATCTTCGGCTCACTCACGCCGGAAACTACCAACCACCGCCAAACTCCACCGCAAACCACCACCAAACACCACCCTTGAGCTCGTATATCCTCCATATTACTTCCTCCATACCTTGGTTGAGTAATATCTAGGATATCCCTGCTCCTTCTTCCCCAAATCTGTTCGCAATTTCACTATTCACAAAAAAGGTCAATGCACGTTTTCTCATCATCTACTAGGCCAATTTCGATTTTGAGCTTGGATTGGGCTTCGCCTTGGTGAGGAGATCAACATTTTCAAGTTTGTTTCATCATCAACAAAGGCCGTACAACAAGCCACTGTTCACAAACGACTCCATTGGTACGGCTTTCTTAGCTCAAACTATCAAACAAACTCAAAGATTGTTTCTTGTTCATCTCTCAAATAACCATGCCCAAGTCCACGGCTAAAAAGAAGGAGCCCCAAGCTCCTACAAAGTCGTCCTCAAGGCTCAAAGAAAAGGCAAAAAACAAAGAAATTGAAGATGCACTCTCGGCTATGGACCAAGTAAGTGACTCCGAATTGAGCTTGGACTTTGCTAGTGAATCCGAGGGGGATTCTAGACCAACTCAGCCTGAATTTGCCCCTCAACCTCCTGAACCTCAGGTTACTTCTATGCCCCCTCTAAAACAGGGAAATGATGTGATAAACGCTATTGTTGAAAATGTGACCGTTGACAATGTTTTGGGTCAAATAGAAGGTATGGCTGTTGTGGGAACTAAAGATATTGTGCTGAATGATAATGTTCCTCTAATTGAACACCAAACTCAAGGAAAAGGGGATATAAATGACTTGTATGATGCTGCCCTTGGGAAAACTATCCCCTTGACACAAACCGAGACCCCAATGCCTAAACCTTTTGCATCTCTATTCAAGGATAATAGGGAGCCTACAAAAGGAATGAAGCTAAGGTTTATTGAACCGGTTGGGGATTTTTGTTGACTTGCATAAGAGAGTTTTGCCATCTATGGTTGAAATTTGGGGGCATTGCCTTGTGGGCTACTTTGCGGGAAGATATCCCGGCTTTAAGCCTATACAAGAACTTGTCTCAAAATGGAGTGCTCCGTGCAAGGTGAGAACCCATGACAAAGGATGGGTAATTTTCAAGTTCCAAAATGAGGAAGACAGGTCCAAGGTTCTTATGGAGGGTCCATACACGCTGTTTGGGAAGTCTTTATACCTCAAAACACTATCGGAGGACTTCTCCTTTGAAAGTGAAGAATTTTTAAAAGTTCCTATTTGGGTGAAGTTCCCAAACTTTCCTTTGCAAATATGGAACGAGGATGTTATAAGCGAGATTGCCTCGAGGGTAGGGGTGCCCTTAACTACGGATAGGGTCACACAAGAAAGAACCATCTCAAGATATGCAAGGGTCTTAATTGAGGTAGATGCATCAAAGCCGCCACCCCTCATGCTTAAAGTGAGGCTGCCAAGTGGTAGGTTTCATTTTCAAAAGATCATATATGAAACATATTCAAACTATTGTTTCAATTGTAAGGCATACGGCCACCATGCCTTCACTTGCAAAATTATAGTCGAGAAGGAGAAGAAGGAAAGAGAAGAAAAGAAAACACAAGAGCAAGGCAACGAGGAACAAGCAAAGGGGGACAAGGGCAAAGGCATTTGCAAGGAAGTTGAGACCGCGGCATTACATGTGGGCACTTCAAACCACAAGGCCGCGGCATTGGGGGTGGGAACATCTAAGGCAGCACTTTATGCCGCGGCATTAGACACTCCTGCCCAACAAGAAGAGCATCCCTTTATAAAGGCAGTAAGGCTGAGAAAGAAAAAGAGGAAGCCAAAGAAGAAAAAACAACCAAGGGAGGATGGGGAGCTATCATCCGGGTATGAAATGGTCCAAGAGCATGATGAAGAGGATGAGCAACCAAGGAAGATTCAAGGCTTCAAGGACTTCTATGATGATGAAGTTGTTATAGAAATGGAAGTGGATGAGGCACGTATGCCTATCCTAAAGGTAGCCCACATTGATAATGTAACCGAGCCCACTATAAGGCTAAACCATCTTCTCCAAATGGTGGATGCAAAGGAACCGGGGATATACTTTACCAAACAATGTTTGGAATCAATCCCGGGGGTGAGAAAGAGGAAAAAAGAGTATGTTTTTACACAACTTTTCATGTCAAGTGTGTATAGACATTTCCTTTATGGCTATTTTGAGGATGGACATCTCATGGGCAATGGAAGCAAAGTCATGGATTTGAGAAAATTCAAAAGGAAAACAGTCCGGATTGTACAAGACATCAAGGAGGCCTACCTTGATGATGTCATAACAAAGATTGATTTTCAAAAAGGAGAGAAACCGAAGATACACTTG